AATATTATTATTTGTAATGTTGATGATGAGTTGATCATACGAGTCCGGCAAGCTCGAAGTAAGAGCTCCGCACGCTCATTCTCAACTATGTTGAAATTTGCTGCTGCTAATTGGGCAAACAAGGTGTTCGGTTGGTTGATGTGGTCCGTCACCGATGTGGACTCACTCATCCGAAGAGTATAAAGTTTCCTCTTCAGGAATATCCTTGTGTGAAGTGACTTCACCTCATATAATTTAATGAGGGCATCCCAAATCTCCTTTGCGGAATCTTTCTCCGCAACACTCTGGATAGAACCGAGTCTCGCCATTGCCAAGTGTAAATTTGCAATAGCGTTGCCGTCAATTTTCTTCCAATCTTTATCCGTCATTTCGCAGGTTTTCCCTCAATTGCTTCTGCGCAATTGTCCTTTCTCAAGATTGCCTTCATCTTCAATTTCCACAACGAGAAATTGTTCCCGTTGAACTTCTCTATCTCGTACTTTGCTCTGCCATGGTTGTATACGGACTTATGCAACTATCACTTATAAATAGTATTGTCTACCGAACAATAGTAGTAAACCGTGAACCAAGTACACCAAGTAGGTTCCCGTGAAAGAGAGGTGGGTCACTAATGGACACGCTTAAGTACCAAGTCTTTCCTAGCCAGAACTTTCCTCAATAGTACTTTCACACTACCACACCTTTTCCAGTAACAACTCCTTTCTGATGTGGAAGATCAGATTAAACTGCAACCACAGAGCATACTCAGAATTTTACCAACACTATTCTAGTGACGCGCAACGGAACTACACTATTCTAGTGACGCGCAACGGAACTCGAACGCAGCTCTGATACCACTATTAGGATCAGAGTACCAACATAAATACACACAACTAAAATAGAGACGAGAAAAATAACCCTGACAATAGGCAAAAATGAAAATTTTATAATGACCACTCTTTCCTTTTACAATTGGAAATTACCAATACTAGGAAAATAAAAGAGAAAGAAGGAGAAATATTTGGGATGTATGAAATAAGGGGGGAGGGGCTCCTTTTATAAGAAGGAGGAGAGCCCCCAATTGAAGTTCCCACGGATGTGGGACTTCTTCCTTCACACTTATTAACATGTTATTTGGTATGCATTAAACTTCAAAACACATTATAACTAATAAGTTATAATAACTATTTCAATATTATGGAATCATTAATTTACTAACCACAATAATCTATTGATAATTCTTTATAAAGTCCCACATTTAGAAAAACTTGAAATTATATCAGTTGGTGATTATATATAAGTATTATTAATCATAAATTTTTTACAACAACATATACACTTATTAATATATCTGCGTCAAAATGTTTTCCTTACATATTCTCCCAAATGTTAAGCAATATCTAAATGTAAAGAACACAAGAATGAGAAAATTGTAGGAAATGGTGGTAGATCGTGTTTGTGTTCGCCCAGAACTTCCACACAAGATTTTAAATTTTCTAATTGAATAATAAATATTAATAAACCCTAAAAAGTTGGTTCTGTTTTAATTTTTTAGTTTGACAAAAGAAAGGAAAGAGAGAAAGGTATCGTGAAAGAAATGGTACGATTGGTTTAACTAAATGTTTTGTCTTAGGCACGAGATCAGAGACACTGTTCCAGATTGTAATGCTAATTCACTGTAGTAGTAATAAATTCCAAAAGCAACTTGTTAACAAAAGGCCAAGAACAATGTACGCAATCTATTATGTTGATACGCATCCTACACTGGAGTTTATCGTACAAAGAGATTAATAAACAACTAGTGAAGTCTAAACCTTGTGCTTGATTATGGCAGAATAATTAGCACACTTGCCAAAAACTTTATTAACATTCAACTTATTCTTTATTAGCAATAGTTTGAATTGACACTAATTTTGGTAACACACATGCATATCCGTTAGACAAGTGCAGATTCATTGATGAAATTTCTGTCTAGAATATGCTAAATCGCAGTAGGTAAAGGGTTAATTAAGTGGGCCAAACGGAGTGCACCTCACTTGGAAGTTATCCCATTAATCATTATAAATATAGTAATAAGTTTGCATGTGGGTATATTAAAGTTCCAAATAGTACATGAATCTCAAATGCATCAATTATATATTGTGTGTGACCCTCTATCTCCAACAAAAGCATTGTATTTAGTATTGGTAAAGCAGGTTCTTTAAAGGTATATATATATATATATATAATCAAGTCAAAACCACTAAGTCCATGCCAAAATTCAATAACTTTCCCTCATGCAATATAAGTTTTCTGTACTTTTGCTCCTTCAAGATATCTATTAGTGGGTATCTTAGACATACTTTATGATAAGAGTATAGTTGAAGAGGAAACATGACTAATTTAGAATATATATATATATATATATAGTCGTTGTGAAAAAGCATAGAAAACATATGATTAGAGTATAGTTTAGCACGCGAAATGACAGCTAGCCTCATACTTAGGAAAGTGATGTTTGAGATAGGGTTGATAATTAGCCATAATTAAGAACCTTGAACCAAGGAATATACCATACGCTGTTCCAAGAATGCGTTTCATCATGGAAGATTTGGTCTATCTAATTGTGGTAAGGAGTGGCTCAAATTGCTGTCAATAATCCCTAGCGATGTTTGATTATGATTTGGCTTAATTATAGAAAGATCACTATTAACTAATCATAGGTTAACAACGTTGAATTGTAGGCATGCAAATCTAATCTTGTAGTGCATGATGTCATATTTATGCCGGCATAATATATCCACTGCCCCACACGTTACACCGACTCCTTTCTTCTTTTTCTCATGTTTGGTTACAATAATAACTCCTTTATATGCACCAAGGATCAGTATTACAGTATAGGACAAAAACAAATTTTGATGTCGACTATACTTTATCTCTGTATTTTATTTTATTATTTTCAAAAGACGATATATTAATATTGTGAGTCCTGAGAGTTTTAAATATCTGGAACCAAACAACATCAGAGGTGGGTTGTGATGAATCTCGCATTAAAAAGTTATTTGATATCACCAGCATATGGCATGCATTTTAACTAGATTGATATATATGTAATTTCATACGTCAATAAAACCATAATAAACAGACATGGAATTTAAAAGAAAGAATAAAAAAAAGGATGGATTTTTTATCCCGAGAAAAAATGTTTAGTCAAAAATAGTAAAACAGTAAAGTGAAGGCTCCACATATAAACAAACACACAGAATGAAATACAAAAAGTGTGGGTTCGGAGAGAGCACAGAAAATACCACGTCACTATTTGTTGTTGTGGCTTGTCTGAATTAATTTTCTCACCCGTCAGGGAAGGCATGCGTGGTGGGCTGTGGCCCACAATGTCAATGTGTAAATGAAAGTGGGCCCGCTCTGGCATTCTCTTCCCCCATTTGTCAAACTCTCTTTATTCTTTTTTTACTTTTTTATGGCTGGCAAAGGAGCATTTTCTTTCCCTGCTTCAGTTGTGTGGTGTGAAAACTGCAACAAAAGATGGAGTTGCAGAGTGGTGATGGAATAGGGTAAACGCCACGTGCCACGTGCCACGTGATTGGTTTAGGTCTGTGGAACAAGTAGGGGTTGGATCTAGACTTGGGACCATTCCACCATTTTGACTTATGTAGCAGGCCCAATAGAATGGTCCACTAGGCCCTAACTAACCCTCCATTTTCTTCTTCCTTTTCACTTTTCACTTTTTTACTCTCCTGAGAGAGGGATAGATACAAAATGCTGCACAATAGTCACACACCTCTTCGTTGTTACTTGTAACCAAGAACACCAACCTTCAACTTTGACTTGCCTTTTAAAGTGCAATGATAAACTGGTAATGCATGCATCATCTTCTTACACCTCATCAATAAATGAAGAGTTACCACGTATACCAAAAACAAACAATACAATAAGTTATTTTTAGTTAGAATTTATTTAGACTAGTTTTTCACACAGTTAGTTTGTTGTAAATTACTTGTAAATGTTGTCTAATCACGAATCACTTATTCATAAGTTTTAAAAAGGGGAAAAATTGATATCACCGACTTGTCATGATCTTGGCCTAACTTTTGAACAATGAAAGTCAACAGATTTCCATGTCTATTATCATCAACTCATTGCAATCAAGCACATCAATTCTAGCATGAAAATCACAACATTAACAGTAGACCGTACCCACTGATTGACATTGTGATGCAGAATCAAACAAATTACTTTTAAAAATAATTATATTTTACATGCTATTACTGAGTAATCCTCTAAATAAAAATGTTAATTGGGACAAAAATATTTTTGTGGGAGCTTTTTATTAAGACTTCCTCATCGTTATTCAGGATGAGCTTCTAAACAAAGCAAACAATGACTTCCTTTTTAAGTGCAAATACTGATTCTAAACAAGCCTAGCTTTTTGACCAGTATTTACTGTTGTTTGTTCATGTTCCCTTTCATTACATGCAAAATTTATTTATGGCTCTGCGTTTGGGATCTGTAATAGTACTGTTGATGCGGTTGTTCAACATTTTTTTTACCTCATCTTTGAACACCATCACTCTACCTAAACGGAGTAATTAATTTTGATCCTCACAAGCTTTAGGTCTAGCTAGCTAGGACCATTAAACTGGAGCATACTCTATGAGATGGACAACAATTATCTCAGGCATGCGACATGGATAATTTTCCTTCCAATATTTTAGATTGGACCACATAAGATGGTGTCATTTTCTTCAGGGGCTATTACCTTTTCATTCTTAAAATTAACTAGAAGCAGTCATACAGTGAAACAAAAAATGGACGCTTATCAAATTTCTTAATAGGAGATTATAACCAAATTATAATATGAAGTCGAAGGAGAAAAAAAATGCAAAAATCAACTATTGTGAAAAATGAGTAATGACTAACAGCACTTGATATATGTTACAATTGTTATTCTGGGTATCCATTATATCTGTTTCATTTGACAACAATTGCACTGCCTCCGACGATGACCAAACAATGAGAATCCCTCAGTTATTGGAGTGTAGATCTTGATGGTATTGTGAGATCCAACTTGCTATGATCTTTACCTCCTGTTTCCTTACATCTTTAAGCCACTTTGGATCTTCCTTAGTAGAATACCTTAGGTCTACATGATGAGCTCCTGCTCACAAATTGTCCAAATAAATAGAGAGAATGGCAAAATGCAAAGAAAGGAACTAAAACACATTATATCAGTTTGATCCACAGACCTCTCATTTCAACCATAGCAACTACTGTTTTTGATATATTCTTTAACACCCTGAAACCAAACTCGTAGTTAGTGTGGTTTTAATCTGGGATTGCAATGATTGTTTCCAACATTAGTGAAATTATACTAATTAAAAAGAGGATATGGCATGTTATACCCTCCACCACTCCAAGGATCTCTTAAACCATTGAAGAATATAATATTGCTTGCAGACCTTTTCAGAACTGTCTCAATAGCCTGCAGAAAACATATTGGGATTAAGGTATGATGGTGTTGAAAAACTAAATGGAATCACAAAAGGACATAACAGTTAACACCCACATGGCCACCAAATTCAGTGGTAATCCAATGTGGTCTTGGCGTAACGTTGTAGAAAAATTGGCAAGAAGAAGCTCTGTCCTGATATGACCACTCATATTCTGGGAATATGCTGTGCTTATTGCTTCCACCTACAGGCATTATCATCTCTGTACACGCCTGCACCCACGACAAACAAAGACACTAAATGAGTTTTCAACAAAATTCAATTAATAACGGAACGTGTGTTCAAAGAAGCCTCAGGTTAAAAACAGTGACTTCAAAATTTTTACGCATGGAGAATTATAAACATACCTTGAATTAAAATATAAAACTTTGATAATGATACTTTCACTATCTTAATTTAAGATTTTATTTCATCTCGTATTTATGTCCATTCCACGCGTTGTCCTTGTATTTAGTTAACGGTAAGTATACAAATTCCAAATATGTGGATAGGGCTGCATCAGTCTATACAAGTTGGGCCTGCTAACCTTGTAAACAAATGGGTCTATTAATATTGGTCTCAAAGACGAAATTGGACTATAGCATTAACCTGCACTCTTTCGTTTTTCAAAGCTATTGGGCTGGTATTTCTTAATTGGGCCAAACTTAAAAAAAAAAAAAAAGGTTTTCGTCTTGCTTTTGAAAACCTGAGGACGAGTTTTCATATTTCATTAGACGAGGTTTGTTGTTTAAGAAAAAAAAAATGGTAAGTTACCTGCCATTGCCATCCACCAAGATCGTGAGGATCTGAATCGTCGTCCAAATCGAAACACGTTGCAGTGCCTGTGTAGTTGTAGAACACACTCGCTGCTTCATGCAGCCTCTCCAATCTATCCCTCTTTTCTGTCTCTGACCTGTCTATTGCCTCGCACATCTATATTTCCGCATTTCTAAGTTAAGTCAAATTATTCTTCACACAAACAAATACTGTATCATATACCCCTCACTGGTCATTTCCCTCCCCAATACATAATATTTCACTTTCACTCAACAATATAATAAATAACAAAACCCTACAACTTCAAAGCCACTCCACCAAAATAATTGTTCCTCGTGATCACATAAATACGACAAAAATCACCATTTTTAAAACAGATCAGGGCGGTTTTGTCACATGACAATCCTTTAGTTAAAAAGGGCTACATAAATTATTACGATTTCAACAATGAATTTGAAGTTTGTTCTTTCAACACACAGAGAGATAATATCCTAAATTGGTACCTTTTTTATGGGATATGCTGGCAAGGGATTGAGGAAATTGGATGGTGTGGGATAATCTGTCATAGCTGTATAAACCCATGCGGTCCTAAGCCAACCTTTCAAAGAACCTGCCCCAAAATCATCGCTCCTGAAAAACATTTATTAATGAATAGGAAACTATTTTTAATTGACAATTGCACTAAATCGTTTGCATTAATCATGCTCTCACTTGCAAATTCTGAATGATTTCTGTAGCAGTTCCAGTCCCCCGGGTTTGTTGGCTATGTCATCTATTAGTTTCCATGACCCTTTTAGCACTTTGTAACAATTTTCACTCTCGCTCTGTGATGATACAATAAACAAATTTTTTTATTACTATTCTTCTATAACGATTTCCAAATACGCAAGTTTGTGTTAATTGCAAAATATTGAGAGAATCAAACCCTGAAGTCTTGTGAGATGATGCTGTTGAAGATATAAGGTGAAACCAAATCCATGAAATGGAGAATTGGGGCAGAGGATGCTAGAGCTCCGATAGAAACATGTGGATACTTCATCCTGAACCAAGCTGCCAACACTACAAAACAAAACCCACTTAGATTTTAGACTCATCTCAATTTGGGAGATTGAACTATTGAAGTCAATAGAACAGAAGCAAAGACTTAAAATATCAGACAGAAAAAGGTGGTCATGACTCATGAGATAGGTTTATACTTCCTCCATAGGATCCTCCAAACACCACAACAGGAGAATCAGTTGCTGACAAATTCTTCTTCAAATCAATGATGAGAGTGGCATAATCAGCTAGTGCTTGTGTGGAGCTCAAATACCCCAGTGTGCTAGCATTTGCGTATGCAACCTCCCTGTTTCCCCCAAATGGTATTGATTTCCCATAGAATCTATGCTGCAGTTCAGTTTGTGATGCATGAAATAGGGTACGTTATTAAGTTAGTTTTGAACAGTTAAAACTCGTAGTTTGAGTGACCAAGCAAAAAGTTTACTTAACCACATTAGAGACAGAGATCCAAGGTTTTACAGAAGAAGAAAGCTTACCTCGATAAAAACCAAAAGGGCGTGAAAAGAAGGAGCATTTTCGAACATAAAGCCTGTGTTCTGAGTGAACCATTCTATGTTCCCTTCATTTCCCGTGTAGACAAAGATTGGAGCATTGTTCTTGACACCACCCCAAAAGGTATCATTGATGAGATACCTTTGTTGAAAAGTTTGATTGCTCTGGGGATTAAAGTTGAAGTGATCGAGTATTTGGGTGAAGAAATTTGTTCTGTAGAGGGTATCTGGGGCAGAATGCGACTGTTGCTTTAGCTCTGCACTAACTGCTGAAGAGGGAAATCTGGGTATGATAGGGGCAAAAGGAAAGGTGAAAGAGGGCACTAAAAACAGAGAAAAGAGTATGAATATGAAGGGGAAGCCAATTGCCATTATTTTTCCATTGAACTGTGACTCCAAATAAGATGTGTATTTAAAGAGGAAAAATATGAAAAGAGAATCTCAGAAATTCAGAACTTCTGCAGAATAAAGCCTTGTTGGTTGGGCTACACACCAACAATGCGTGGACCATTCCCAATTATTGTATTAGGTTTATCCATGTTGTTCAGAGACAAGTTTTGACTTGGATTAATGTAAATTTGTAATCTTTGAAAACAAATATTAACTTGTGAGTGAAATGTTTTACTAGAATACCTTTTTCATATAAATTTGTAATGCATTTTAATATCACTTCCAATAAAAAAAAAATTATCTCTTAAAAATAGAAATTTATAATTCCATACTTACATAGTTTTTATTGACACAAATTCAATAAATGATCATTTGTGTGTGTGCGCGCTCTTATTCTTAACTGCATTTGTTGTGGAATTTGATATATCAGTTTAAACAATCATTTAATCATGAACCAAAAGACACAGTCATTTAATTTTCTGTGTATTGATAACAAAAATTTTGGTGGACGAACCCAGACACCATATTTAATCACTTAAAAATTTTTGTGTATTTTTTATAACATTTAAATGCATGTTTAATCAACATATTTTAGAAAATGTTTACTTTTAAAATACTTTGAACTGTAAATTATTTTTAAATAAAAAAATATTTTTCTTAGCATGTGTTTTAAATTAATTTATTTAAAAAATAATATTTTCTTAACTTTCTGATTATGAATATTATTATAATATATAAAATATTTTTATTTATAATATTTTTATATATTGTAATAATATTTATAGTTAAAAAGTATGATATTTCTCTCATATTCTTTAATAGTTTTTTTAAAATAAATTAAAATAAAAAGCATATTAAAAAATATATATTATTTTTATATATGTAATTCACTTAGTCATTTTTATGAAAGATAATTATGACTCAAACTATTGTAGAAATTAAAATTTTCATTTTGATTATTATAAATAAATAATTATTTTTTTAGGTTGATTTAAAATAATTATTTTTTAAAAATAATTATGAGAGAAAATATATTGATTTCATATATATATATATATATATATATATATATATATATATATATATATATATATTCAACTTAAGTTATTTTATGAAATATAATTTTGTCTTCAAACTATCTAAAATTAGTAAATAAGAAAATTGAATTTTTTATCTAACCATTCATTGGAAGGGCTGGAATGGGAAACTATTGATTAAGTAGAATAAATTTGTGTTAATTTATTAATACATTTAATTTTTTTATATTTATTTAAAATCTTCCATTTAAATTGAAAAATATAATTAATAGTTTATCTATATTTTAATTAAATTACTAAAACAATATAGACTATAGATGTTTTATTCATGACAACTTTATACGAATTGTAAAAATCAATTAAACACAATATATTTTAAACATTTTATGAATGCTATATTATGAATTGTGTAACTTAAACCTTTTAAGATCAGTTTTTTGTTTTATTTGTGTAACAATATAGTATATTTAGTGAATAATAAAAAATAATATAAACATATATTTATGATTTAAATTGTAATACCAAATTTCATTCCAATCAAATGAAACGCAGTTGTCAAAGTGTGGGAGCAAAAGTTACTCTTCTGGATAGGGATATAAAGGAGACAATTTTACGAGAAAAAAAATACAATTAAAATAATGTAATAAAGTATTAGATAAACTTTTACAAACTAAACAATAAAACAATCTATTCTTTCCGTTCTATTTCATAACATCCATCCAAACATTGACATATTTAGTTTTCTTAGACAACAAAAATAGACATCTATTTTTAAAGGAAAAGTCACGAAACTTTTGAAATTGGACTTATTCAAACCATGCCAAATCCCATTGTGATTCAGTTCCGTGCTCCCTATGTAGTCCAACTTTTAGCTTCCCATAACAATGATGGCTATGAAAGCTAAGTGATGAACGGTCATTGAATGAAAGAGACGTTGATATTTATACACTCCCTTGATTCATCCTTCATTGAGTAAAATATCCTCTATTTTCTTTTTCATTACTATAATCTTCAAAAATTAAATTATACTCCTTATCAAATATTGATGGTATCCTTATTATTATTATTATTATTATTATTTTTTAACTTTAACCCTTTGATTGAGATGAGAGGATATAAAGTTAATTTTCTATAAAAAAAATTATTAATTATCGACGAATAATTATCAATGGATACGTAATAATCAGAAATGAATGATTATCGATAAAATCACTGATAAATTTTAAGTATTTGTGAAATTTGGTCTTATCAACGAATATATCTATCAGTAAATGAATAATTAATTACCAATGAATATATCCGTCGATAAATTAATAATTAGTTATCTATCGATAAATTAATAATTAGTTTCCAATGAATATAGTTGTTGGTAAATTAATAATTAATTACCGACGAAGTATATCTGTCGGTAAATTAACAATTAGTTACCAACAAATATATTCATCGATAAATATTTAAAATATATAAATATATTTGTATTTATATATTTTATATGTATATATTTATATGGATATTTATTTATTTATTTATATATAAATATAATTTATTTACAAGAAAATTATAATAGTTTAGTGGTTAAAGTATCAACTTCCAATTATAAAGTATTAGGTTTGAATATTATGGTAATATTTTTGTTCGTTGAAAAATATAAATATTTTTATAGTGTGTGTTGAACTTTATCTTAAGAAATTATTTTTGAAGATTTTTTTATACATATATCAATAGTAACTAAAAGTATACTTACTTTCTTAAATGTAAAATTTTTAACTTGACATAAATAAGCCTTTGTAAATTTATAATTATTTAAATTAGTTAGAAATTAATTCACCAGATATATCCTAGAGAACCAAATTATATAAGGTCCAAAACTAAAGTGCAAATTTTTATTTTTATCTTTTTGTTAAAGAATTCTAAGTTACAGTTTAAGTGAACCTGTGTTATGCATCTAGTGGTGGGTGAAATATGATTGAGCCCTATTGTCTTCAGTAATACTAAAAAAAATCTTCAATTTCTTGTTTTCAGTGACATTTAAAAAAAAAAAATTATTAGCCCTCAAAATTCCAAAGCCAATAAAAAAAAGACAATGTTATTGCATCAGTAGGATTTTTGTACTTATTTTAGTTTACATATTCAGAAACTTGTTAATGATGAAGAGAATGATGCCTTGAACGTGACAGTCATAAGTATCAACTTTTGAAAATTACATTTGAAAGATTAAAGTAAATACATAATTGGGCTGCTTAGAATAGAAAAATGAGAAAGCACTTTAACATGAACAGATTAAAGAGGGTAGGAAATTGAAGTGGGGATAGTTCTATAAAAACTAAAAGGGGTTTGAAATTAGGTGGTGTTTTGAACATGAAAGCGTGTATCTACACATTTTTGCATCTAAAAAGTTAATAATTTAACCTTGACAACTCTATTAATACACTAGATCTAGAGAAGCATCTTTCGGCAACGGACATTACAATGTTGATAGGTCTTCACCACTTTTGGCTTTTTTATCATCCCTGGTAAAAATGGATATAGAGACCCGGCTTATGCTTTTAAGTATTGGTAAATTTTAATTAAGTAATAAGTTGTATTATACCAATATTTAAGCTAACCAATTTCTAAATAAATAAATAAAACTAAAATCGTAAAAATGAGCAATAATTTATAAAAACGTTAACACATTTTTAATAAGAGGTTTTTCTTATTTTATTTATTTTTTTATAAGTTATTTGATGAAAGAATTATTAAATAAATTTAAGTAATTTATCATAATATAAAAATATTTTGAAATTTTGTTTTAAACAATTAGTATTTTTATTAAGTATTTTAATAAATAATTTTTGTTAAATATTTTGATTAAGTATTTCAATAACTTCAACTTTTATCTTGTGACTCTTTTAATGACTTGATAATGCTTTTTTTAAATAATAATAATAATAATAATAATAATAATAATAATAATAATAATAATAATATATGTAATAATTTAAACTTTGATGTTGTAGTATAAATTGTTGACATAGAGGGTAAAATACCGACACTCCTGCAAAAGAATAAGTGAGACCCAAATATGTAGCTAAAAATTATGGGTGAATTATGATAAAAATGGTTAAAAGGAAAAATTTTATCAAATCATAATAAATAGTCAGATTTAATCACAAGAAAAAATTACTTTTGAGTAAAAAATAAAGGTAAAATTCACTAGTAATGTATATTGATCCATAATAAAATAATTTTTTCATTCATACCCACTTCTTGTAAACAACTACTCTGTAAAGATGCTGAGTGTTTTACTGGAATTTAGATTCTTTTTATTCGAACAAAACAATACCAATCAATTTAATATATTTTATCATTACTATATAATATACATTTTATATCAATTAAAAAATATTTTAAATTGATTATTCGTTTAGTTACATGCAACTAATATATACATCAATTATAATAAATCCGATAAGATATAATTTTTTTATTCAATCATAACTTAATGATTTTTTAGTAAAAAAAATATTAAATTCATGATTTTGATAATAATAAATGTAATTATATTTTTAAGAAAATAACAAATAATAAAAATTTAAGATAAGTTATGTAATGATCCAACACACCAATAAAAAGACACATTATAACCTGTTAGTTATTAAACTTGACATCATTGAGTATTATATAAAATAACTTCAAAAAATCGTTATGTATCACAATATGATATATATGTTGATTAAATTATAATGTAAAAAAAAAGAATAGGCAACAACAAAAATTAAAATATTATTGGAATGTATTTAAGTGAGAAATCAAATAATATTAATTTTTTATGAAAATAAAAAATATCCAATTATATTAAAATTTATTTAAAATATAAATATTTTTTCCTCCAACGTATCTATGAAAAAATAAAACAAAGAATATGTTATGTGCATTATGACATAAATAATAATAAAAAACATA